CGAGTTAACTCTTGCATAACGGCTTCAAGGGGCCGATAAACTCTATGACTATAATCACGGTCGTGGTAATTATTAATATCTCATGTATGATCTTTCAATATTTAGATTATACCGCTCAGTGTTTACAGAGCTAACAACGAGGTTCGTTTACGTACGTATATTTTACATCTATTTAGGGTTGACTCCGGTTATCGTTTGTCGGAGGCCGACTCGAAATCGGAGATATAGACCAGTCTACCTACTTAGACATAGCGGTGAAAAGCTCTCGTTATCGGCGCTTGTACCAAATATCTTGTTTTCTCTGTGCGCGTCTATTGTATTGATTTTCTAAATTAATCTAGTCGTCTGTCTAAGCAGATAAAACATCCATCGAGTGATTCATCACTGGACCGTTTCGTCAGCAGAATCGAACCTACAGCGACTATAGCACAGCCGGTGGCGGCCCCATACTACAGCTCTTCCATACAACGGTGCTATTCAGCGACAGCACCCTCAATGACAGTTCATACGCACTGATGAACAGAATGAGCTGAACGCCATTTACAAATGAGTGAGCACCGAGGGAAATCGAGAGCGGGAAAGAATCAAGCAAGACCCATTGTTATCTACCGATGACTCGCACGCAGTATGTTTACAATGTAAATAGACGATTTGGCGACACTACCTGCGCCGTCTGATTTCGTGCACTGATCACACCTAGGCCAAACCAGTGCAGATCGTACTCAGTGTCACACGAGACGGGGAGCGGTTGCTCGCCATTAGCATTCGTGTCTCTGTCCTCATCACATCAGTGTCTTTGTTAACTACACTGATTATCGTTGCGGTAGCCGTTGTAGGAAATCTGGAAAAGGTACTGCTCAATTGGCTTCTGCTAGATAGATTGTCCGCCTCATGCATATCTGGCCTGTCGACCTAGGCAAGGCCAAAGGACGTCAGGGCTCATTTGTCCTAAACGTGCTAGGCTACAGTTGATGTTTCGGAGATGAGACAAGCCTTAGAGTCGAGACGGAAAACAAGGCGATGCACTATTTGAAACGAGGATTTGCTGCACCTTTGAGACAGGTACCGGTAAAAGAAGACTTCGAGGAAAAATAGAATTCAGCATTAAGTATCTGAGGGTCGGATTTCGTACGCACGGTCGTGGGCGTGCGAAATCAAGCTCTGAGAGAATTAGGCTCGTGGTGAACATAAAAATCAGCATGGTATTAGTACCCTTGAAAAGCTCAAATTTAGAAAACCATCTATCATCAACTGCGGGTTATTCAGATGGGTATGCTGCTTGTCTGATAAGATGCTATATATTTGCCTATCGTTTACGTATTCAAGAAATGTTAAGTACCCTTTGGTATCGTTGCAGAAGATACTGCAAATCTGAACGTTCGATGAAATGGTGCATAGTCTTCAAGAAGTCACACAACCTTTAGCCACAAGGACTCGATGTAGAGATTTTTACGAATTATAATAGCGGTAGTAATGATGATAATAACTATAAAATAAAAGTCTCAGAAAACGCCCCCCTGGCTATATTTAGCCGACAGTCCGACGGGGTTAAAAAGGTTTTTTGTTTAATATACTCACTGTCCCTGCTGCAGTTGCTGGAGCGACTTGTCAAGGTCAGTTACCAATGGGGTACTGGCACCACTATCTCCTTTGGATGACGTCCTTTTTTTGCGGGGTCGCGCACACCCAGCCAACGTGTATGACATCGACATGATTAAGGAGCTTTGACGCAAGGCCGGCATCATCTACAACTCCTGAGAGGGGCCGCAGCACTGGCCACAACGAAAAACACTCATTAACATGAGCCTGCCAAACCTTTTTGATACATTGGCGTTGGACACGCTGGCTAAATTGAGGCCGGTTTGTTCAGGATGCCGTCGATACAGACACTTGAAATTTTGGTATTATTCCGTCTTTTTTTTCCTATGCTTGCAACAAGACCGAGTGAATACTATCGTTTTAGGCTATGTATGCGCCATTTCTGTCGGCTTCAAAACATCGTGTGAAACATAGCTTTAGAAAAAGGTGACAAATATACTCCTGTTCACACTATCTTCAATAACTAACAATCTCTTTTGAGTATCACAATGTAAATACGTTCACAGCCGTCGAACATTCAGCTAGCGTATGCAAACATACAAAGGGTCAATGTTGTGATTGCCGTTATGTTTTCATACGCCTTTGAGAAATTAAGAACTCGAGCTGCGCTCACGTATACACACTGTTCCACCGCCTGACAGCTCGGTCGTCGTTGTACCCTGTTGCCATTCAAACGCTGATTCGCTTCCGTGATGTCTTCATATGTTCCTTTTCCCGGCTAACAACTTTCGAGCTCGCTCAGAGTCACCTTGCTATTGCGGGACAACAGGACGGGGTGATGGTTATTGGGCTCGTTGACCCCGACCCTCTGCGGCTTCGGACGAATTACTCGTAGAGTCGTATGAGTGTGGACATAGCGCTGTTCGTTCGCGTTCTTGTCTGGCCATAAATTATTCAGCGCGCTATCAAAGAAATGCGATTCATATTGGTTATATGAGGTATATGTCGGGCGATAACGCTCTCGGGAAGTTGGGTCTTGTCATTTGGCTCGAAGATGATCGGGCGTCATTTCAGTAGTGGTGCAACCATACTCAACCACCTCGATGATCAGAGTGGATCGGGTAGAGTAAGAAACGCATCTGCTTCTATTGTGCGACGACAACGACAAATTCATTCTTCTAGCTGCCGAAACTTATCGTCAGTCGCTAGAGCCTGTTTTGTGCGGCCAATATCCGGGGCTGATCACAGCACCCGGCTTAACAGTTCGACATCTAAATACAACAGCAGAAGATCGGAAGATCGACTGTATGGACGCCTAGCTCAGCCTATAACTACGTGCGTTAGGTACCACAGATACTATCACGTCATTTTTTTGGGTACGCTGTCGACAGAACGAATCGTCGAGAAAGATTCTCACTAGTGTATACGAATTCATTCATCAGTAACGACAGGAGCGGCCGAGCACTCGTTCAGAAAAAAAGATTCCCGTTTCGGAGAAGTACTTTGTCATGTAGGCTTTCACCTGTTTTTATTTTTTATTCTCTTTGTTGATGGTTGACTTTGTAATGGTGCGACCTTGTTCTACTGGATTGGATCTGACATTCTCGTCATAATGCCCCTAACGTCATCTTCGATTTTTGTTGCACCAGCTTGATCCTGATAAATTTTGACAGCTCTATCTTAACAAACAGGCTTTATGTAATCACTGACGTAATAGTACTTCTTCGGACACGTCTCCCTTCATTTTTGCCAGAACACGAAACAAACACCATAGAATACCGACTAGACATTTTTTCATTTACCGGCTACATCACCGCAGATTCATTGCGTCACAAACTATTAGCCAAACCAATTGAACTATTAACGCGACGATAACTAACTTCCACATAACTTCTATCAGTAAGTACGTTGCTTCCAATGATCGCGATGGTGGTGATGTGGGCTTATTTACAACTGTTACGTAGCAAAGCAGGCGGCGACGAAGATCAGCGGGAGGCAAGAATCGACACCTCGTCTTGGCCAGCCGACGCGTGCCTCAACGCCAATCACCCACTTGACCGTTGATCTAAAGCGAAGCTGTTACCAGCCGTTTCGAGCGGCATGACCAATAACCAGTCGTATCTACTCTTTTGTTAACGTTTAAGAGACTCTGCTCAGCCCTGTGTCACGCAGGCGAGGAGGTGCAAGCCTTAGACCAGAGGGTGCGCCGTCCACTGACTAGTCTAAATATCCTAGCTTTTCGCGCGTTTTTTCGCGCGAACTGACCCGAGCGTGTCGCAACGGATTTCAGCGCGCTACCGTCGCGTTAGTCTTAACCGACGGCAAATCGATCAGCGAAACAGCGCCCTACACTGATAACACGCGACTGAGTATGGACGGCTACGGCAGCCGCAGCGGTTGCGGCCCCAAGAGCTCCCGTTCGACCGAAGCTAACGCTATAGTATATGTACTATTTCATTACTGATCAGGAACTGCGGACCGATAGCGCGAGAATAGCATGCGATCAGCGGCTAGTAATGGCGGCCGATTCGTTCAATGATGGCCAGATTATTGTAGCAATGTTGAGCAGAGACACGCGAAAGGCATTACGTACGAGAACAGCTTTAGATAGCCGAATAAAACTACTAGAAGAGCTACAGATGACTGGATGTTGAACGTGTTTTTGCTATTGTCACTGCTGTCCTTACGATGTTGCTTGTTATTGTTATTGTTGTTGTTGTTACCAGCTCAGATTGACACGCGAGAGATACGCTGAGGCCTGGACATGTTGCATTCGTATGTGTTTGTAGCAAGAGTGACAGCTGGTACTTAGAAGGGTAAAGTGTACATGAGTAATGTGTGAACTTTAGTTAGTGCTATTTCCGTAACAACCCTCCTTCTGAACTATGTTATAAAATGCGAAATATAGCTGGTGGGACAGAATTCTTGCTGGACGTACGAGTTGTAATAGATCGTACTCTTTGGTGCGTTCGAATCGACAGACTGGTCTTAGTAGTGACCATGTGCTCACCCGCTATTATTTATCTGCCAGAAGAACGCCAGTTCTTCCTTGGACGAACAACGGCGTGCAGAATTGCAATGATGATTATCTTATCCAATCATTCTCCACGGAACAAATCTGCAAAAACTAAATTTTTTCTTAAAATCAATTGTCCATATCATAGGACAGTCGTGAAAGACTTTTGTGTGGCAAAATGTGGTATACTCCCTAGAGAGGTCTGACCAAAATAGCTTAAAAAGTCATTGTTTATACACTTAGGCTTTTGACAGAGAAATTAACGGCTGTCAAGAGACGGGAATATCAATTTTTAATTGGACCGTGCAGATGAGCTCCAAATATGCGATTTTTTGCGCGTTTTGCACCTCTTTGGGCTTCCCCTTGCATATCTAGTACTTTTAGCCTGCTATCAAGTTAAGTGGTTATTATATTGGAATTTTCATTTATATGTAGCGTATTTGGATGGGATCTTAATGAGCTCACAGCTGCCATTATCGTTTCGCGCGTAGATACTATGAAAAAAACGAATGTTCGGATCAAGGAACGAAGGTTTCGAAAAGAATCAATTGCTGGTCTAGATTTCACAACAGATGTCCTGTCGCCTTAAAACAGCATACACTTCCTGAGCGCTGAGGACTGAGCGCTTTTGCGTTTTCGGAACAATGGTGAGTCGAATAACCTATCTTTAGTTATAGGTTAGTAAGTGACCGAAGGGGACTGAAGCTGCCAAATCAACGGTGCAAACTATAAGCGAGAAAAACTAAACCATAAAATACCAGTAACTTAAGTTACTCCATACTAGACTGCGTGATAACTTGAGTGCTTCGTTCACGAATTATAAAAAGTTTGCAAGCAAGTTTTTGATGAAAGCAAAATCCAAAAGATGACGACATGCTCTGCACGTTTTCTCAAGTTAACCGTGGATTAATAGCGAAATAAGTGGATTCGGAGACAGATCAATAACGTCACGACCTTTTCAAACGCCGGACCGGAGAGGGGGACAAATCTGCACAGAAACATTCAAAATATCCGCAAAAGGAGAACGAGTTTAAAGCTACTTAAGCACAAGGAAAAATAAGTTCACTTTTTAAGTTGACTGAAAGACGTATCTGTTTCGATTAATCAGTCCTTTCTTTTTTCGTCCTCAGGAGAAGATGCCTGATGGAAACTTGTCGAGTGCCCTGACTTGAGTGACCCGACTGGTTCCCAAATCGGCTTTATCGACCACAATGGCAAGATCTTTCCGATGCGTAATAAGACTATAAGCATTGTTTTAAACAAAAAAAAAAAGCGTTTTTTTGGATATCGTTCACATCGCTAACGATGAGTGCTATGGTCGCGTGGCTATGAGTAACTGTGCATTTACATCATTATAACGAATATGACAGCGAGAAACCTGGAGGGGACCTGCTAGGTTTATAGACTTATTGCCTAAAAGAAATCAACACCTAGTATCTGCTATCAACAATGAGCAGATCAGAGTGCGATATAATTCTGCGTAATGTTGCTTTCGTAATGTTAACAGTATCCCTTGTATTCGCGTAATGTAAAGTTCTATACAAAATAATATAACGTATTTTTCTACGTTACACTGACAGACAGAACCTTTTAAAATTTTTTTCAAGAAAAAAAAGATTAATTTTTTCCAGAATCGAGAACTACTTTTCGATAAAAACGTATAATGCTACACGTAGAAGCTTTTTCCTAGCTTAATTCCATAACTAATCACATTCCACACCTTGTGTGGCTTTTTTGGTCCAAATCAAAATCTGACGGCCCTGTTCAATCCCTATGTTTGACAACGACTCTACCTCGTTAGACCCTCACAATTACCGAAAGCTAGACTGACTCAATGCAATTATTTAGAAGAAAAGAAAAGGCGGAAATTCCAATAGATAGAGCCAACTAATAAACAGAAAAAGTCATATTCTAAGCGATGACACATGTCGAACTGAGACAAGCTTTTCCACAAGAAACACCTATACAGCGGGTCAGAAAAGATTTATCCACACAGGCTGCCGCCCTTGATAGGCCAAAATCGAATATTGTGAAAAAGGCTTACCCGAAGCTTGCACGGGGCCAACTCGCTACATGAAATCGTTCTGGTTTCAAAAACAAGGCCACTAGGCTCCTTAAGAGAAAATGATCCGTTGTAATCAGTTAGTTTACCTTCACCAAAAAATCATAGCATGATAGAGATAAGGTACAACCATACAAATCTACAGTCAGAAAGCGTGATACGCAGACACACAGTTTCTTACGTCCTGGCAAAAGTTTTACGTTTAGTTGCCGTAAATTAGTATTGATCGGCATTCATTTTTTTTTAATCAAACTATGCTATGTAGAGTCTGTTATTTTGGCTGGCAAACCTGTTATGGTCCTATTGGCAAATGTGTGCTACTGGATTTCAATAGTGTACCACTGTAAACACCAGAATTCATTTAGAAGATAATAATAGCAACTAGTAAATTAAGGGAACTAATAATGATAATTATACCATACTTATGAATGAGCATATATATATAAGTATGTGTGCAAAAACACTGCTCCGCATGTGTTCTGGCTTAGTACAACCGCACCTAGCGTAGCTCACCAAATATAAAATAAATAAATGTGGGGCATGTGATTTTTATTTAAAAACATCCAATATTATATTGAATAGAAGTAGTATACTCTCTAGGTCGCTTGAACGGAGCCGCTTGGAACAAAGTCGTACTAAGTAATCAAGAGATATACACAATTCAATGGCCAGTTCTCAGACTTAGCGAAACTAACTATTGAACAGCTTGTACCCAATAACGGGCACTAGGTTTAATGTCTCGCTAGTAGAAGGAGCAGCTACACCAGATGCGAAATACATTATAAATCACAGTTTTTATATGATATACTTAATTTTCGTACAAAATCATCTCTATTTTTTATCTTGCAGATTGAAATTATCAGCTGCTGTCGGCAACCGCCACTTTCGTGCCGTCTGACCACGCCGTAGACCACTCGAGCCTGCCTGATTACGGCATCCGGGAATTAGCAAACGCGAGGTTTTCACTTTCGGATGATGACAGAAGGATACGTTTATAGACGGCATAGTTAAAACAAATTCTCAATTTCTTATTGTTACAAGCTGAATGAAAATATAAAAAAATAAGAACAGGAAAAGCCAAGTCAATACTGGTAAAATAAATGACCATATTTTTGGATAGAGTTTTTCAAAGAGCAGATGCAACATCGTTACAACCCGGAATAACTATTGCTCAAATAGATAAATGTTCCAAGCTTTGTTTTTGCCGTTACGCATTGCGTCACCAAGGTAGCTTAGTGGGTAACGTATATGCCAGCTAATATTAGAGTCTAAGATCGAATCCGGGCGTAGATACACGCCGTTTCCTTCTGGGAGCCAGCTGTCTAATGTAATGGACTTATAACTCGAAAGCTAAAGAGATGGCTGGCCCACTCCAGCAAAAACCGAAATGTGTTTAGGGCCCACATTATTTTACGTTCAGTTAAATTTGACCCAAAAAAAAAACACGTTACCGTTATGGAAAACGATTTGGTACGACACATTATTTCTACAAAGGGAAAATTATTGAAGCTCTGGCTGAAGTCTGCGTGCACTGATGTTAACTAGATCGGGATTACATCATCTCATCTTGATATGATAAAATTCGAAATGGTCATTTGGAATAATATATTGATCTTTTGCTAGGAAGGACATGTTTTAGCATTAAGGAGATTCCAGACACTTGGCAGCAATGTGTCTTCGCTGCTCGCCTAGAAGGAGAGATGCGTCTTCCGATCTTACATCTTTTAGAGGTAAATCTCAAAAGAAGCAGTATGTTCAAACCTCTTGAACCTCTATTCCAAAGTCACTCCTTAGTGCATCCGGAGATCTCTTTGAGGAAAAATTTTTAGATATATATATATAAATGACTAAATAGATAAAAAAAATAGGACTTATCATTGCACTGAAAGCAGGCCGTGTGAAGCAATGCTCAATGGCAATAGCGGGCTATCTCAAAGTTCGAAACGGTTATTTATGTATCAACGAATGAATATTATTATATACATAAAATATGTATATTATCACCAAATAATTGCGGCGTGCAGTCGACATACACTGAGATCCTATTCATATTACGAATTAATTCTCTTAAGACCTAGATAATTAGGTTTCGTCGTATTTGCGATCAAGCGAACAGTTGTAAACGGATGAAGATCGAACGATCCTAAATTTAGAATATGAATACGGCATTTTTGCATGCGAAATAATATTAAATTGGTTGTCGGATGATATCAGACCCTGCGGGGATGCCTACCTTGCCAGCCTATACGTAGCCTCAGATAAAGGCCTAATTAGCTGATATAGTTGTTCGATTTAGTAATGGTGCGCTTGTAGTAGGAAAAATTAATTTTCTTGCCGACCAAAATTAAAGAGGTAATCATTAGTGGGTCGGGCAATGCGCCCACGATTGCCGTTTACCCTTATTGCTTAGCCGTTCTATTTTGGTATAGACAATGGGTTCAAGTTAGCGATTCATAACTCTTCCAGCTACCGCTCTAGCCCTCTGAGCGATTAACCTGATACTACTATCGTAAATCATCTATCAATCTTCAAGCGCTAGACCTTCATTGGTGCAAAACATTCCATCTAAATTGACGCACGCACTAGCTATAAAATATCGCAGTATCTTAACGAGTGCCTACTACATACACGAATCGATCAAGGAGCTCTTCGGAATCCGATAGTGTATAGCCTCCTTCCAGGCGAGAATCCGGTTGTTGATCAGAAATAGCATCTTCTTCAAAGATTGTCGTCTGACAGAGGCCGCTGGTAAACGAAACTCGCTTCTTCTCAAGGGTTCGAGCTGGCACAGTCAGTATCTCGGCCATTGCTGAACACTGGGTGTACACATTCTTCAAACTTGACACGTATTTAATCTGAGTCTGATAACTATTTCGGATCATGAAAGGGTTCTACCCATTTGCATCGGGTGGATAATCATTCGGAAGCAGTTAGCAACAACATAGAGAAGGCGCGAGATCAGATTGCTATCTACTGTTGGGAGCAGCAATTTTGCATTCTTACGCTAACTGATTACATACATCCCGGCTATGCTTAATATAATTTTCTGCAATTTTTGAAGCGGCTTGTTATCAGTTTCAAATCGATCTTGATGCCCCATGTCGTTCGCTTCCTGTCCGCACATCTTTGCCTCTTTCATCATCGTGGCCCAGATGTTCATGTAGTTCATGTAGAAAGGCAGTGGCCGAGCTATGCCTTCAACGTAGGATTTGCGCCAATCACAGTTCACGGACAAAAAGACAACTTCAAATTCATCTCGCTACACTTCACAGAAAAGCCACCGAAGTTGTCTGAGCATCCTATGTATATCTCTTAGAAGTTCGAACTTAGTGTCGTGCCCTTAACCAGTCAACCGGTAATAGTACTCTTGTCAATCAAGTCACTCTGACGGTCGCAACGATTACAATGGCAGCCTTCTTAGGCCAGCAGCAGTAGCAGTAACAACTGTAGTCGATGTTTCGAAATTCAGAAATTCGTTTAGCCTAACTGACTATCGTGGATTGATTAAACCACACGAGCTTTAAGGAGGACAAAAGTTCATCAGCTGTCTCGATTGACACTCAGAGGGCTGGCTTAGCCCGGTTTAGCAAAGCCTACCGATTTAATAGTGAAGTCGCCGCACAGTGGTCAGAAGGCGCCTACGACGCCTCCAAATTTAAGACAGGTGTATGTTATAACCATGAATATGAATAAAATACAACAAGCATTCACGGCCGCCCTGTTGGAATCCATGGGCAATATCAAACTCAGCGATGGTGGTCAGTATAACGTAGTAGAAAACTGAAACGTGGACAGTCCTTTTGCGTGACGTTGAACCATCGACTTACGCCTCTTTCTAGTCCCAGTGTTATAGACCACCGCGGACCATGTAAGATAGAATCATCTCTGATCATGAAACTGGGGAAAGGGTCAATGTGTCTAATCTGTGAACGTCGGTTACAGCAAGAACAATGACCTAACCCAAACCTAACTCTAACCTATGACAGTTTCCTATAATAAGGGCTAATAATAATTGTAATAATAATAAACGTCGTTCATCTGCTAACACGGTAAATGGAGAGCGAGCGCCCGAGCTGGTGCAAACACGATATACAGCGCCCCTGAGGAAAATCAGCCAGAAAATGTGCAGACAACATGAAACGTAGGTCCTACATTGATAGCACATAATTACGTCCGGCCCTGGGATTATCGGTAAAAGTCACATTTTTCCGTAGAGCCAAACCCCAAGACACAAACAAAACGATACTTTCTCGTACTTCTACTCCTAAGAGAACCATTTTTTTATCAGCAGCCAGAACAAAAACGTTTTTCTAGGTGTTCAAGACGAGCGTCAAGGTTCTTAATATAGTGCACCTCCGAGATACGAGAGAGGTGTTGCAAGAGCACGATACGATGTTGTAAAACGTACCTCGTGTTTGTCGATGAATCGTAATAGACAAATATAGGTTGGTGAGACAATTACTCGTCAACCATGACTTCCGCCTGTCGAGTTTCTTTATATTAACTGCCTCCAATATCCATAAATTATTAGGTGGTAGCATGCGAACAGACTATATTGATACCTAAGTATTACTCTGTACCAGTTAGAGAAAGGCGAACTGCTAGAATCTATAGATACTTGGCATGTTTTTCGGGAGCATAGGCAACACGCGCGCAGACATCTTTAGATAGATAAATGTTTAACCTTGGTCGTTTCGTTTGATGTTCTTTTTTCGGCCTGATTAGAGGCCTCACCTACCTAGTGACCACCTAATGTAACCATGCTAACGAACACCAGTATACCAAGCGACGATAAACTTTATGGAATCGAATCATTTTAGCTAGGTTCAGCATGGATAACTAGATGTCACCAAATATAGGAAACCTCTATAAGTGCTGTGACGTTCACTTGTCATTTAGTTTCTTTGGCGGCCGACCCATTTGTTGTAGAATTTTCTTGTCTCTCGTGTATCGTCTGTATTTCAATATCTAGCGTAGATTTGAGCGTCAAACAAACGTATACGACTGGCAGCGCGTACGCTTCACATGACGACGCCCAAAAAGCACCTTTTAGCCACCGTAACATACAGGTATATTTAATTTCGTCCTAACACGTTCTTGTTTGGTGAATCTACTGGATATCTATTTTCTAGGTTAAGAGGGTGCCAGCGGCTAAAATGGAGATCATTGGCGCCTAAACAAAACCACTCGAGCGTCTGTATCCGCTCGCTGATTTCGAAATCGCATACACTAGACATACTAAGATTAAGAGCCAATTCACCATTGATATCCGTCGCAAGGTGTTTTGCCGAGATTACAGTATTCGAGCCGCAACACTCAGCATTTCTATGGCCGTGTCTTAAACAGCATCGCCTGCATTCTGGGTCTGTTTATCTTTCGAAGTGTTAAACTTCGAAGAACGCGACAACAGCCGTACCAAGTTGCTTGCCCGATACGGAAGTTCTCCAGTACTTACTACGTAGTTTTTCAAAATGTTTGCATGCGGATTTAGCTTGGTACGGTGACAAAAAGCGCGAGCGCCATGAAATAGAATAGCGGCACTGCGGCCAGACGGTTCACGAAATCGTCGAAGCTTTTTTAGTGTCGTCTAAGAACGCTATACAAGCTTCAGTCGTTTCTTTTAGGTTAACGTAGCTTCATAACCTTTTCTGACGTAGGCTTTGAATATCGTCGTATGGAACGGTGTCCCCTAGGCAAAGCTTTCACGAAAGGCGAAGCTCACGAAGTTAGCTCCGCTTTCGATGATCGAATCAGAGCAATTTAGCACAGGTCTGGCAAATATTTTCGTTTCCTTTATTTACTCACACCTAGGGTCTGATATATGGCACACGTGGGCTACTACTCTAGTTTAATATTGATTCAGACAACAGGTCCCTTCCAGCACGAAACGAACTATGTCATCAATTGTCCTTGAGTAGCTAAGAAATGCGCGTGATGAGGTTCACTCCGAGCTCTGCTTAAAGCTCCATCGAGGCTCTCAACGTTGCGACGTTAGCGCTTGAGTACCCGCTTTGGCTATTTTCTTATTGATGAATTTTTAGCGAAGTCGACATTCACGATTCAATGTTTTCACAGTCTTCTAATTATAGAGACGATATAACTACCGGAAAGCAAACTATTACCTGCCCCAACATGCGGATAAGGAATAAAACACCTAAGAAGTAATATATTAATAACAATCGCGAAGGACCGCGGCGAAAAAAATTCTGCCGAGTAACATGAAGCATTGTACAGGCAGCTTCGAGTATGGCCGTAGCGTCGTCCAGAGCCTAAGTGATTTGGCATAGCTGTGAAGGATCTAAAGCTGTACGTTCCCGCACGATGTTAATAAAACCTAAAAAAATGCCCGATGGACGTCAATGTATATACAAAAAAAGGTCATAAAAAATATTATGTACTGTATTAGTAGTGTATTGTGATGTATTAGATACATAACTTTTTACTAATAAAAACTAAAAGAAAAATAATAAGAAAAAGATAACTATCAGGTGACCTGTAAAAGCATGTATGGAAGTTGAAGTAAAGAAATAATTTTGTCACTCAGCATAACCTACGAAACCGAAGGTGTATAGAAATATATACGTCTAGGTATAACTTGCAGCAAGAGAATATAACGTAATAAAAGAAACGAGAGTAAAACAAGTCAGATGGGTATTCCCAACATGCCAAGTGCCTTCTTTCAACTGTTAGAAGCTATTTACTCTTATCTGTATTTTTTTGCACTCTGACCTCCATTGGTGGGGTTTGAATCCGGCACAATTTACTCCGCAGTCTTGACAAGGCCTTCCGTAATCCACTTCCTTGATTTGGAGATTTTTCTGTAAGCCATATTTTAAAAAATAGCAAACAGATAGAAAATTAAGGATGGTCGTCATTTTTTAAAAATTAACGTATAGTTACTCGTGAAATTTTTACAAATTTTATAAAATTACAAATCTTGCGATAAAATCCTTTATATCATTAAATTTTTTTGCAGTTCAACGAAAGAGAACTACCGTACGACCGATAGGTCCATTGTATACTTTCATAATACACTAGAAATTCATTTATCCGAATGCAGCATCAAGCTCAGAAAAAGCCCATGTAGAAGAAGCAGTCTAGCATTGGTAAATTGGAATATCTACCCATGGGTAGTTTAAACAAGGCTCGAGTACAGAGCGACAAAACGCATCGCGCTCTGAAACGTCGGTATGACAAAAATAAGCAGCTTATTTCCGTAAGTCTGACCATTTTTTTCCTGTCGTCTAAAGAAGGCAATAATGTTCGTGAGATATGTAAAGCTTACAATGTAACGGTGTCCATTCATATATAGGCAGTGCCTAACCCTGTCGTGACCAAAGCGGTAAGGTTGAGCTTTGCGATCATCGTTCCTATCCTATCCATTAGGCCTGTCTCGTAGGCATGGCCCTTGTTGTGCACTGATTGCGATTAAAAGAACATCTGCACACCGATGATTTGTGACCGCTTGTCACAAGCAGCAGCAACCTTGCTATATTAGTCATAAATAAGGAAAACTATATATTATATAAGCTTGTTTTCAGGTCAGATATCGACAACCTTACCATAAGATGCTCCATTTCCACATCGTACGTATCATCACATGCGGCCGCAGTGATGATATTTGCTTGCAAACACTTCGACCCGTCACAGTACACAAACATAGATTCACTATGTAATTCGTATTTGGAACTTCATGCAATTGTCAGGATCCTTCGTCTCGCTTGATCGGCACTAGTACATTTTGCGTAATCTTCTATTGTTTACCTGCTACTGAACTAAGCGTAATACCATCGCATTAACTAGCATAGCAACTGAATCAATCACTTATGATCAATGGCCAAGTGACCGGACGTCATTCGTAACCGCCGTCATCATCGGTGACCTCGCCGATTTACCAATGAGCATATACGTAGACGACTAGCACTATAGCTATTGATTTTTAAGCTATTCTTCATACTCGTTCACGCTGAAAATCAGGCCAGAACATAGCCACGAGTGAAGGTAAACGTTTTTGGGTCCGTTTGTTTCGCTCGCGCTCTCTTCTTCGTGCCCGTGACTTTTTATCGTGACTCGTTCAAACGCTTAGAATTTGCTAATTAGGGAACAGATTTGATGAAAGTCGTTCGGCCCGGCATATTGCTGGCATACGTTTTGTTATAAATTGCTTGCAGATGGCTAAATCTCTAGTAATTGTTAGACTGGGTGATTAAGCAGCCCAAGCCGGTCTGTATATGCACAGTTTGATTTCGCGTCGGCGTGAAGAACTAAACGTGACCGGTTTTCTTTCCGCGCCCTTCTTCTTTCGTCTACAACGGAACAGTTCGTTATTGGCATAGAGACGTACGGTGCGTCTTGATCTTTTGCTAGATACATGGGTTGAGGCAGGCACGAGTTTTCAGAGGGCGCAGGAAGCCGCGTGTTGCTGAACAGCGCCAAACTAGCGAGCTCATGAGGGGTGCTCTTTCGAATATAGGCCGTTTTCCTAAAAGTAAGTACTCAAGTAAGAGACGACGACTGGAAAACTAAGCGAGTCGGATTGCATGGCAAAGGGACTATCCAAAGACCTGGAAGCCTGTTGATTAGCCACTAGGCAATATTTGCTAGTGATAAAGGTTTCTCCGGAAGATGAAAAAGGGTCAACTATTAAACGAGTCGTTGACGAAAGTTGACCGCGGCGAATGTGGGATCAACAACGGTGCTAGCTGCATGATAGACGTTCACGGCTGTTATGTGAATGTAGAAGAATGAGCCTCATACCGAAATGCGAGCAGACCGCCTGCAGACAGGTCAGTCTATATTAAATTGCAGATAAACACCGAAATTGACAAGTAGAAGCTGTTCTGCAGTGAATAGTCCTGCGCAAAAAAACCGTCGTCCGTAAGTGCCGCGCACCAAAGTATCGTAGTAAAACTGTATTCAACTATACTAAACGTAGTTTATACGATCGGATCCGGAGGTACTTGAGGGTCGATTTTCTGTCCACAAGTTCCGACTAGTGGACTCATTCACCATTCGGATTAACAACACAATGCATACGTGCTTACGCAAGTCGTCTTTAAACGTTTTCGAGAATTAGTGCAAAAACGTCTCTGCTCATTGCAAGCGATGATCTGCCCGACGCTTCAATGATGGTATCAATAGAGTTCAGTTTCATTCACGAAACTGATGTCTTATCTATTTCCAACAAAGTCAATCAACCAAAAATATCACCTGTAGTTCAATCTCCCATCTAACAAACAATATCACATTACCACTGGAGCCACTTTATCGTCAACACTGCACACAGATCGTGGACCGGGAGCATTATCTGGGCTTCAATTTGTAGTTAGGCCTAAAAATGTCCAGACAAGGCTACCGTGGATCTAACGCGAATCGACCGATGCATCAGCGGTCCAGAACACGCGCTCAGCGGTTGTTCAATAGACCAGTGGTGCGCTGCAGGCAGTGCCCAACCCCGTTTTGGAAACGGATGTCGTTCAGTTTCTGTAATGCTCTTTCTGACGCTGACAGAGTTCGGAGCATTGCTGACGGACGTCGTTAGGTCGCATTAAAACAACTAATACTTGAGGACGGAAAGCGCGAGTTGTACATCAGCTTACGGTTGTCGCGACGTTAGTGTGGGCATTATTATCACAGACCAACGTTACAGCAGCAGCAGCAGCTGCTGCTGCTGCTGCTGCTGTTGTTGTTGTTGTTGATGGTGATGGTGATGACTGGGTTTTGCTTTAGGCGATGATTCACCAAATGATGTTGATGTACCTTCAGCGGAGCTCCGCTATCTGCTGGTAGCCGCCTACGACTTTCACGGACTGATTCGTGACTGTGGAGGTATAATAACGTGTATAATAAAAACAGTGGTCAAACTAACATTAGTAACAACGATACTGAAAATAATTCCCACGAATTGTGCGGTCACCGGCGTCTCGGCGAACGGATAAGCTTGGCTTCCATTGAATCGAAGAAAACAAGTGGCCGAAATGGTCATAGCAACCAGTAATTTTTATCAAGCGGTACTAACAAAAATAGAGACAATTCGCGGCGTTGTCAATGTCAGACAGGCGATATGACCAACCGCTTGATCCTATCAAAGCAACTACATTTTGTTTCATATTAAACAACTCCCAACTGACTAGCCGATCCTTGCCAGGTAACGTAACGAAGATCGTCAGTAACAAACTTCTCTGTTTACCATTAGCCAATTAAACCATGTAATGATCAGAATGTCTAAGGAACAACGACATTTATGCAAGCACAACCTTTTTTTTGATCAGTTTTAATCCGTACCTGCTTTTTGGTAAAAAGAAGTTTTGTCCTGTGAGCAAACTTGTGACTCAGCTTATGACGATTACAAAAACAATAGCATCACATTTAGGCCACGCTGTTCATAAGCGCAGTCAAAATACGTCGAAAAACATATTACTTCATTATTGCTACTAGCCGATACCTTCTCTTCTATTCTCTCGATCTGCCGTTCGAGGTTTCAGACGTCGTCCAGAGTGAAGTACTGCAGGTGGATTGCTACCTCTTACGGACCCCCGAAGGCGAGCAGGGGTCTGCAATAACTGTTAACAGCAACAGATACCAGCGAATTGTCGCCCCCGCAAGTTCAAGGAATAATATTTACTCATAACAGGGCGAATATGGGATATTAACTAGAAATAAAGCCATTGCGATACATATGGTGAGGTGGTGACTTTGCCTATCTAGTCGGCAAAGTATCGTAAGTCAACGATTGAGTTAAGAGGTAGCAATCACAACAAGTTCATACGAGCAGATGATCTCTGCGTTGGGTCTGTATAGACAAGCGAAGTAGACAGACCTAGGTTGCTGTTTGTGTGTCCATCCAGAGGACGCAACGAAACGACTGCAGGTCTGAGCACTGCAGGCCTGAGCGCTGCAGGTTAACCTAGCGCTGCTAACACCTACGTTTAACTCTGATTTTGCATAATTGTCCTAAATGAACACAGGGCCCTCTCGTGACGGTGGGCGCGTGTCACTTTCTCTTTGTGGCTTCAATCTATAGGGACGCGATGGATACATTGATTGTAAGCGTTTCTAGCAGCTCGTAGGGGATCATCTAGAGCAGACAGGATGATCATGACAGACATAGATGTTTACCACTAGATTACCATGAGACATGGACCAATTGTCAGTATATAATTGTTAGTTTAATGGATGTATGTCTAGGAGCCAATAGGATTCCGAACAGCGAGACGATAACAGGCGATTAATTATGAGCCGCATAGCAGCTAGAAAGGCCAAAGATTTCTCTTTGTAAGCGCCCTGCAATCACGGTGACAAGACTGTGACGAGGGAATGCCGTAACACATGTGTTTATTAACATTTATTCATATTGACGTTGCCAATGTAAATACTGTTTGAATCTTTCGAGTTTTCTTTCTTTTGAAAATTGATTGCTAACCGGAAACCTTACATAGATATGCCGCCGATGTTCGGCAATCGCTTTTAGGGAAGGCACCGCAAGGCCGAATGTTTCCGGTGTTCATTTTGCGTGACAAGCAATGATGGCAGCTGTTTCTGCTAGTAAATATCATTAATTTGATTGGTAACTTCCGATTTTACTGGATAAAGAACTTTGCGGTAACAAGCAATTAACGTACGCTAACAGCACTCATAAGTGTTGCTAAAAAGTTGCCTCTCTAACATTGAAAAAAATATCTAATTTGCTTTGATGGGCGTAGAATAACGCTTTATTATTAGGTGCATCTATATATTATACTTACTCTATTACGTTTAATTTTGTCCGAGGATAAGATCTGTGATGCGGAAAATTCTCAAAAATTTGTATAAATTTATAATTTATTATAAATTATTTTTTATTATTTTAATTTTTTAATAGAATTTATTATTTATAATTTGTATAAATTATAAATGTAGCTATAATAACTAGAGGAAGCACATTTTTGATGAAACTACCGGTGAGCGAAGTGGCATGAATGGCCGTACAGGCTCATGAAATAAATTGCCCCTCGACTGGGAGAGCTCAATGTCCCCTCTAAATCCTGAACATCGCCACCGTTGTCGATCAGATAAGGAACGGAGGTACAGCACATTTTCAGTGGTGAGTGCGACGATGGAGACGAAACGGCCACATAACACTAGCGATCGTTACGACCCGAATCCGCTTTTTTTTTTTATATTGTCTTCCCAATAGGGGGCGTTAGTTAGATAAACTATTGCAATTATTTCTTCTAAATCATATTAATGTTGATCATAATTCATCTTGAAGGCAGCATTTTTGTTCACTTACTTCACCAGTCATAATAATCCATCCTAACGGGAATTGGATGTATTAAATTGGTTTTAATTTATAAAGTATTATTGCTTCAAAGCCAAGTGAGCGCACCTTAAAGTTTCCGTGGTAAAGTCCAACGGATTCTAATGTCAGATGTTGTGGCACGCTCTAGATGTCCAAGGATAGGACAGGGAAAGTGTTTTTACAGATTAATATTTTTGCGCCAGCCATTTTGAAAGATGTATCTGTGAATACCTCGCGAATTCTGAGACTGAAAACGTTCCTTGTTTTATCACGCTCGTAGTGTGGCTGGTCGCATCGCTGAAACCAGCAATCCCTGGACCTAACTCTCGTTCTGGGTCAGCCAGAGGTTCAGCTACGATATATATATACATAGACCGATAAATGTGCGCAGGCCCATGGGGCCGTTCTAGGGCTGATTGAATCAAGTTGAGTTGTATACATAACCATTGCCTCAAGCCTGCATAGACCCCGCTAGCACGCACTAAAACCTTTTCCAGAGCAGATTCGTGACTACCCCATCTAGGACAAGCCTGGCTGTCATCATTTAGCATTGCTGCAAGAGCCTTTGGGGATAGAAAGAGTTTAATACAGGTAGTGTGAAAAAACCAGGTGGAACACTATGTTCATCGTTACTCGGATCTTTATTGGAGGATTAAACTGTGGTTATGTCCAGTTTCAAACCTAGACCATCTCTATTTTTCAAATCAATGGGCAAGCGCCTTACCTTTACAACATCGCGGGGCTCCTAAAAGGCACTAGCCAAATATATGTATCATTCAATTCAGTTAGCTTAATTTTTATGCTAGGCGTCGTCAATAAGAAACTGTCTCAAGAAAAGTCAGACGGCAGACATCTTTACAATGCCGTCGTGAATTGGGCTATCTAAATGGGAATTTCACCAAAATTTAAACTTGAACCCGATAGACAATTATGTTCTATAACGGTATGAACGGCATATAAATAAACTATAATTTTTCGAACAGAACAGCGCATATTTACTAGGTAGAAAGCCCCATAATGTTATTTCTATACCTTGTTAACTCCCGTACTATCTATCTTAATGTCTCTGTTTGGTCGGTACACTTTCAAAGCGCAGTCTGCCCTTTTCTTACTATGCGCTGAGATAGGACGCGCCTATATTATTACGGTAAGTTTCATCTATACAATGCACGGCCACTCATCGGATATAACGGTAAAATTCAACTAAATGATTATAGTTTCGTTATCGTGTGTCGTTGTTTGTTCTCTTACATCATGTACTCGTGATTGGGCAGTAAAAACGAACACGTTATATATATTTGTGGTAGCGAAAGGTCACCGGGATAGATATTTTTTTCCAATCGGGAACTAGTTGTCTCACTAGGTATGTCACAAATGTCATGGGTAATAGATGCGTTTGTTACTTAGCTGATACGTAAACAACACAGCGTATTAACAGTAAATCAATTGATTTAAAAGCATTTTCTTTATTTACACAAAGTGTGTAGTACCTATGTGACGGGAAAATCTGTAGATTTTTGTTTGCCAACTCGAATTTCCTTCGCCCAACGTCAAGTGGCTATTTTTTGGGTTCTTTTTGCATCGACCAAGTTCTTAAGGAGCTGTTGACCTCTACGCATGCTCGTAGAGCCAATGCCCTAGAGAATAGTACGGTGCGGTTTAAGTTTAAAAGGGCATTTACGAAACATTTAACAGTTCGCCTGCATTGTCTGCCCACAAATACCTGACTAGCTTCTTCTAAATCATTCGCGAGCTGCACAAAGAGCGTCTTCTTTCCAAGAGAAACAGTTTAAGGTTTGGCTATTACAGGAAGCGTCCTGCTGCAAACGACAGTTTGACAAAAAGTGGAAGTACTGCCCTTATCGACATGTTTTCGCGATTCGTTTAATTCATTTATTCTATACATTCATTATAGTAACGTAAAGATGTTACTAATGACAAGAACGGAGCACTTACCATCAATAGATCGGTAACTTTATCCCAGGCTATTTTGATTGGTAATAGAACACCAGTTCGCTGGCCTTGACTCTGATGCACTGCTACTTGGATTTCCTTTGCTATCGTCTCTTCTTTGCCAGGGTCATCATCGAGATCAGTACCCTCATCGACCATCAGTCGTCTCGCCGGCACGAGCGCCTCCAGGATCCCGACACGGCGTCCCGCTGCACCCTCACTTGTCGAAGCCAACTGCGCTGTCATTGCATTGGGCGTACAGGACTGTACATATGTATTGCTACCCGAACTGGATGCCGACCCGGTAGAATTTCGCGGGTCGTTTTGGGCAGCCGTTGTTAAGGCAGCGCTGAATGTGAGCTGTTCGTCCGAAGAAGGCTCCCTGGCGGAGATTGCTACGAACTGAGATTCGTCTATGGGTTTTGGCGAACCCATTCCAACCGACTCGTCTTGACGCGTTAAACTCGTCCGCATTTCATGCTCGGAGTTGGCGTCAGAAGAAGCTCGGACCGATTTTCGTGCCTTCTCCTTACGTCCGTTACCAGTGGCTCTGGAAACAATGACCAAATATTGTGCGCCTAGTTATTATGTGATTACAATGTTGTAGCTGTCTAATTTAATATAAAAAAGCGCAATTTTTTTGTCAATCCAAGTAGCTGTCAAACAGAAATAATCCGGATACATTCAATTCAAATGAAAAAATAAAATTTAAAAAAAATAATAAATAATGTACTTGCAATACGTACACAGCTGTGTATTTGTCTATATTCGAAATATCGAATCGTGTCGAGAAACTCGCAATTCATTTAAAAAAAAAAACAGAGTCCTAATAGTTCCTAGGTGCGGTACACGTACCGTTTAGACAATTCCTAATAATGTTTGCAGCTGATTGTTTTGCCATTGAGTTATATCTATCTTCTAACCATGCCTAAACGATAGCGAAGCTACAGCTCGTATGACGCTAAACGCCTACGTATTATCAATGCAGACAGGACCATTTTCCTTTCATGTTTTTTTCCTTTCCGTATTTTTCTGCCTCACACATTATTGTTTATTCAGCACCAGGTCATAATTGTACCCAAGCACTTATTAGCATTAGCTATGGCAGCACCATTGTAAGGTCCCAAAAACGAGTCAAACAACCCTTTGTAATTTATGAAAATTGACAACGTTCGCAGTGACGTTACGGCATCCCTGCTAGCAGAGCCTGTGTTAGCGTCACTGTACATGCTCCACCAATATGGAATTAGACTTAGAATCGAATGGCCTTGGCATCTATGCAGCTCGGCCGGATACAGCCGGCGGATAAAGCAACGAGTAACAACGAATAAGATGTTTACTGAAAGTCAGAACAGACCGTTTTGTTAAGCACGATAAAAATGACGGATGAAAACGCAACGATGTTCATTAACTACTAATGGAATACGTAAGACATTTAACTGTATACGATAGCAACGCAAGTGATCCTCTCTCTCACATTCTATTTTATGGCATAGTAATGGATTTCTGTGTACCATTGAAATCAATAGGCGGATGCATATATTATTACTAGTATTATGGATACATATCATCTGATTATTCGTTGAGGAGGCAATTCAATTTGCCCCTGTCGAAAATACTGCCTGTAATAAAATTTCATACTAGGCTATGTAAGTGAAGATAATATATAATACAGCTGGGGACTACCTTTCTGTGATTGTGGTCTTAGAATGTGAAGATAACAAGTATAGGCAAAATCGTCAGCGTGTTGGATGGCTATCCGCGTTGTTGAAGTATTTCGAATAGTGGAAGCCAGTGTTTAAGAACATGGATCTAGTGGTTTCACACAGAATTTTTACAAAACGTTAAACTAGGTACATTAGGTATTTCGACGATTTTTTTACATGTGCTCAAATTCTCTGCATTCAATATAACCACTATACACTGCGACTACAACTTCGATTCGGGACCTAAACCGGGCGAGCAGTTGCTTTAAGAATATTCCCTCTTCAATCTGTAAGTAACTTTTCACTTATAACTGCGCATCGAATGATATATAGGTGATATAAACTTTTTAGAGTATCGCTCAATTCTACTAAACGTCCCCAGGATGTGAAGGCTCAAAGTGGCCAAGGAGTTCGAAAAGTGTGAAAAGGCGCGAAAGATTGTACCGTTGTGGCCTATCTAGACGACCTAATTAACAATTGATATTCCTTTTTACAACAGCTGTTAACTTCTGTAACGAAAATCAAGCTATACCAAAAATGATTTTTTATTCATTTTCAAGTTAAACTATGTTTACGATTTTGCGGTTCGCCTCACAGAAGTCTTTTTAGGACTTTTCAAAACCCACATAAAGACTTGTGCGGGAAAAACGAAATTTTTAGCGTTGCAGGCGGTTCGTTCAGCGTGGAAAAATTAGGTAATAGATGATCGACGGTCAAGTTCCAAAAACGACGTGACTTTGTTCACCGTAACCAATGTATCGTCTTGTTGTAGAAAGAAGTTTTATCTGGTGCAAGGAGTAGCGGATTGCCCCAATTCGGAATCCGCATTTTATATTTGTTAAGGCAGCAAAAAAAAAAACATATTAAGAGGAAGAATAGCATGAGTTAAATGATGATCCTCAAACACTCCAATGACTTTTCTCAAACTGTCAGGAGTCGTTTAACTCCGCTGTATTTCCAGGTCCCTACTACAATCTTTTAATTATTCATATTAGTAAAGTTTTTTTTAATCGTTCAAAAAAAAAACGTTCAGCCATGACACAAGCGAGAGCACAGGAAAAGCCGTATAGTTCTGTAATTGATTTGTTGGACGCTGCCAGGGAGGCCGCAATCGCTCCCCGTAGCGAATGACCTCAGCATAAAGAGCCTTGTTCGTCTTGCGCTCGAAAAATTGACACAATAACGGGCGAACAGATACATCCGTATGTGTTTTCTCAGAACACTAGCAACCATAAAAAAACTAAGATAGATGGCCTAAACAGACGCAGCGGAAACCATTTGTTTTAGTGCCCCCCTGTTTTTTTTTTTCATTAGGATGCCCCAGAGGAAGCAAGCTTGAATTGACGTCCTCCAGCTTTACATTTATAACGAGCTATATTTACTGTTACATTTCCACATTGCTTGTGTATAAACATTTTAGACACGTATCTGGCAAACGCACGCAAAGATTGAGCTGTTTTGCGGTCAGAGTTAGAGTTTCGATTACAATTTAGTGCGCGAGTCCTAAATTTGTTTTGTTTCTTGAAAATGTTATTATCACACCTTGTCGTTCCTTAGTGATCTTCGTTCGAATCGCCTTAGAAAAGATCTATAGTACAAATCGCTCATGTCCTTAACGTGAATCAAAGATTATTTTGCCGTTTGTAAGACATGTACGCTGATGCTTCAGGACACCTGGACGGTGTGTTTATGTGCATTCAGGCTTTCGTTGCCGTTCACCACGTACTGAGTGCAACAACGCCTAAGTTAATTTAAGGTCTAACCACTCGATTGAATCTACTATCAAGTAACTCTATTGAAAAATATAAGGCTTGTTTCAAACCTGCCCACACAACGGAAAATCCTGTACGTATATGGGACGAGAACGACATGAAGAAATTCGCGGTTTGTGTGTGCGTCCAGATGTACAAATGATCAAAAAACCAGTGAGTATGAAAGTGTCAATGTACAGCTCGCGTTAAACCTTCGTATTTACGTAGGAATAGAGGGCAACAGGTTCCTCGTTTGCAAATCGTTGCATGGTACTCATTATACTGAAAGGAAAGCCATTCGGTTCTTAAGTAGACACGTCTGGTTTCAATTTTGTTACGCTTTCTTATAAAGGTTTATGGGAAGTTCTGGACGCATCATGTACGTTTCAATCTATCAAGAATTTTTTTCACAGGCAAATCTTTACGAAAGTTATCTATGACAACTAATATCATAAGACAGATAGGGATTTTTTTTTTAATAGTGAATGCGCTTAAACAATCAACTTATCAAGAACCTAAATCTTTCATGATTTCATCGCATGTTCTTCACCGATATCCAGCCCACTTCCGAGAAAAGATCAGTGTTCAATACTTTTAACTTAATACAATTAACTAATGGCAACGTTACGTGTAGGTGACGAGACACCATGCCAAGGAGTGCCTTCATATTTGATATCTGTTCGTGTTCTACCTGCACTCGTTAGCCAATTAGAGGCGTCCCGTATAGAAGGCGTCAATCGTCACTGTATAATACTCTGTTAAATCAATGCCATTGTAACAGTGTATAGTCATTCTAACCGGCAATAGATCGTTATATTTCTATTATAGCTTGACAACAGCGTCGGTCCCGTAATGCAAACTACAAGTTATGCATAGGGTTAAAGGAAGCTGTTTAGAGAACCCTTTAGAAGATTGTGTGGATTCAGCTATGTGCCCGAATTGCTTAGCTTATAATGGAGCTCTTTCAATGCATAGTGTAATACCTTGGGCGATTTCCACTGCCGCCAATCGCAGTACGGGGCATCTTTGAATGTTAATACCTCTATAATATGTGTGCATATTATGCCATAACTCAAAACCCCCCTTCGCCGTCTTATGTATTTATCTAAGCGCAGTAATTATAAAACAGTGACAAAGTATCCATATGCACACGCATACAGCAAGCTATCGCCTATCTGTCCTACCATCGTGTCAAAATCACTATACAATTATATGGATATATTAGAAACATCGACAGTATGTACACACGCGCTGGTGTACAAGAACGCCCGCACCTGCTCTCGTATCTGGTTGCATTATCGCTACTGCATCAAAACGTATACACGTATTCCTAGCAGCCACGATTATTATCTGGAAATCAGCCTTTGCTGTACACCGAGCGTCAATCCGAAAATCAAGGTTCGAGTTGTAAGCGGCCATTTCGTCCTGTCTGGGCTCAACGCAATGCTAATGCTCCTTAAGCGATGTGTATTCGCCACCAGTACTTGCTGTAGCACGGTTAGTTCGGGTCGGCTATGTTAGTGCGGGTCATCCTCTACGCAAGTGGGTTGCGAGCGTCAGATATTTACCAGCATCACAACGATGGGTCGTGAACAGGGCGCAGATAGATCTTCAGATGTTTTTCAAGCGATGGTCATCTTCTTGCTCACTGTTGACTTCGGCGTACCATTGAACGGAGCCGCTTTATCATTCAACTGGGATAAGGCCAGTAAATTAGCAACGACCACGTCAACAACAGATAGACGTGGAATAACCGTTGATGTCGCCCTTGTATAGGGTGGCATCACATTCTATTACTTCTTTGAAGGATTCTTCTTGTTCTTTGATAACGTCGTCTTGTAGATTGAATAGATAGAGCTACCGAGCCGATAACTGATGCAGAATCGCTGCCTGCCGCATTGACTTTATGGTGAGGTCGAGATGGGCAAACAAGACATTTTGATAAATTGACTATAAAAAAATACACATTTATATTGCTTTATTTATTTAATGTTGCTAAACTGTTTCGTGTACGCGTAGATGCCTTAAAGGCCTTGACCAGACGGATGTTTTGGCTGACTGACCCGCTAGTTAAGCCGCTGGCGTTGCTTACCTGAATAACGGTGATAAAGGCCAAAGCCAATTTGCTGATCAAGGCTTGGCCTGGCTAACTCATGTCAGCTGACAGTTAGCTACAAATCAGCCGATTATGTAGAGGTAAATATAAAATTTTAAACGCTCGTACATAACATAAGTGATAAACCACTGATTTGCATCGATTTTTGTTTTTGTGCGCGTAAATTATACCTTCTTTTGAGAGCGACAAGATCTCTGGCTGAAAACGCCAGGATCATTTGTTTGGTAAGTCGCCATTGGGGCTTAGAAAAATAGCGTCCTATGTGTGAAATAATATCATCTTTACAGCTCGCGCTAATCTAAACATGTAAATAGTTAGTAAACGCATAATGTATATGAATGTTTTACATTCAACCGTCAGACGTTAATTACGTTAGGCAACAATATTCTTGTTTTCAGTCTGAAGAAGATTGTGGCACTTGGCCTATCTCTGAGTTACAGGAACCTCAACTTAGCAGTTACCCGTATGCAGTTGGCTTAAAATTTTAAATCTGTCAAACGACGAAAGTATCTCATTGGAACGAGGTGGCGAAATAAACGATTATTATAGTATAGGGTACAACTACACGTATATAGTAGAGGAGGTAACCCTGGAAGTTACAAAATACCGCTCGCTGTTGTACTGATCGCTCGCTGGATATTGGTCGCAAAATTGTACGTGTTTAGACGGATATAATTGACCCAGATGACGGCAATAACATCATTTCTTATCAATAAAAACGTCACCACAGACCTAGCTTAGAAGTAGTACATTTACACGGCTTTTCCAGCTGATTCGAAATATTTCATAAAAACAGCTTCACTAGCGCGTACCTTATATCATAGTAACTAACGATCTTTTACCACCAACAAACGAATCTCAACGCGCAATAGAACCACGGAAGAACGGAAGCATATCGTTATTATTTTTTATATATATATTATATATATATATATATATAATTATTTATATGAATTTCTAGACCCTAATAGGTTACCGATACAATTTAACTGAATTTACAATGTCACGAACAACGCGATGCTCACTGTTTCGCGTACAGGATCACAGATATTGACAACCTGGCTTTCTAGAAGCATACGTGTTAGTTGAACGAGGAGATGTACATAGCATTTGGTGCAGAAACTCTCAATGTAAAGGTGTAGAGTTTTCATAGAATACACCGGTAGGATAGTGACGCTTTCGCACCTCGTCAATTTCTAATTCGATTTTTCGTCTGAATTTTTCAATGATGAATGAAGAAGATCCCCTTTATATGCTACTCTTTTGCTCGTACTGTTGCGGAAATGGCAATCACATCCGATACATGCTTCAATCGTTATATGCAGATCAGGCCTTAATAGGTCATAGTGGTGCCACAGTCAGAACCGAATTTAAATCATCTACGCTAAACCGCAAGAGAATTACCTTAGTTCATTGCTTCTAGCAGCACCGCAAGTTTCATGAAGAAAACACACATTACCAATCAACAATATGGCATAATGGGGCTGGTTGGCTTCTCGCAAAAACTCGTATATTGCAAAAGAGTCATCCGTTCGATGAAAGTCGAGCCCGTAGACGCAGTAATGATATCGTACAAAACGTCAAGGAAACGAGACGGCCATCTAGCAGAATATTACATTGTATATGTTGTCGTTTGTTCCGAGCTCAAGTACTTGTATCAGAGAGACAGACGGAACGGATGATGATGATGGAGGAAAGACTGCGACTGTATCTGTGAGCATTACGCTCGTAAATGTAACGATATTCCATAATAATTTCTCCATATCATCGATGCTGGGCTAAGTTCTAGTTGGTGGGCTAAGTTCTGTATCGTACTATGTACGTGATTACAAAACGCGTTCGCGCTACTAATTGAAATATGTATACAAGCAAACCTTTGTTTTTGTCTGTAAGCACATCTCGAGATCAGCCTTTCCGTATCACGATGCCAAGGACCTGCCCGAAAGAAGGCATTGGCAGGGTAGGTGACGTTAAAATATCTACGTATGTAAATGTGACTAAAAATGTATTTTTTGTATAGATCATGCATGTACTAGGATTAGTTGGAAAAACGCTGTCGTTTTAGAGACTCAAAAATGTGCCTGTCCAGGTAGTCAGATAAAATTAGGTTAGTGCCAAGCCAAATGTAAGTCTTAATGGCGCTGTCCTACCCGACAACTGCTGTGCACCGATTGTTTTTTTGTTTAACTGCTCCGCTCGGATCTATGTCAGGGTAATACATTATTTCAGTTTCTACCGATCACCTATTTGAAATCGCAGCATGGACAGCATTACCTATTATAGGGATATTAACGTTGACAGGTTTCAGCAGCTATGGAAAACAATCGGAGGTGGTAGCAACTTACGCTCGAAAATGACAAGATTCAGAATAGTACTTGTAGATAGCACCATTTTTAATGTTGCGGCTGAAGCTATTCAAAGGTAATACATGGGACTTGAAAGTATAATACGATCTTAAGTAAGAGCATATTGAAAAGGCCGCAATTAGACGCTAAGCCTTATTGCAGGATGTCCTATTTTAGGTTTAGTTAATTTACTTACTCCGCGAACGTAAAACTGTGTTGAGGGCCATTTACGTAAGATTTATATATATATATACATACACACATTTCTCTCTCTAAACCTTTTCAGTCAGCAGTTGAAAATAACTGATTGTATACTACCCTCTTCTGGTTTGTGTTGTCCATGTGCGGGCCAAGGCCATTCCGTGGCGGGAACAAATGTAATTTTATGTCAGTTCCGAAAGATCATCAAGAACAAAATTTAAGGTAACTGCTATTATGGCTATATTGCTATAACAATAATATTAGACAATAGCAAAAAATAGGAACTTTTATGTTAGCATAGTTCATCGTGGCAGCGTGGAAGGCCTAACTTCTCAATTAGGCAAGCTAAACTTACTAGATGTAGCCTCGACGCATGCTGCGCGGCAAAAATGATGATATAAAAAAAAAAAAAAAAAAAGAAAGACAACAATGATTATACAGTGATTCTATTGCGATAATCGGTGATAGTAAAAAAAAAAAGAATGAAGAGTTAATAGGAAAACCGTAGTAAGAGAATCACGCAACTTAAGAATGATACATTAGTTGGAAAAGAACGATTGTTTATGCAGTCATATTACAAGTATTTTCCAGCCGTAACTTGAAGTGAGTCACCGACTTTGTACCTGTGTTTGATGAAGTAGAGAATCATCGCTCCGAGAATGATGGTAAGAATCATCAACGCGGCCGCGTCACCAATATGTCGATCATTTTCGTGCTCCATTCTTAATTTGTTGTGTTCACTGAGACGTTCATATATTTGCAGGACCAATAATGATCCCATAGGCACAAAAACACAACTTATGAACCTTCTGAGTGGGTCCCTGTTCGAAAAACCTATACACCGCGATTTTTAATGACAACCACGTAATCAATAAATTTTCTATAAATATTGTAGTTATATGACGAGATGTTTCACTGATGACAAGCGGCAATATCACGTTTTGTCGAAAGAGAACGAAAACCGACAAGTTCCAGGCGCGTGCCTATTTACATAGATTCGTTCCGAAAATCTACAGGCCAACACCTGCCACGAAATGGTTACCAGTATCACACTCGTCTAACAAAATATAAGTCGTAAAAAGCCGATACCTTTTCAGACAACAAAAGAGAGCTCTTATTATAAATTGCTAATCCGTCCTATTAGCTATCCGCTACTGGCTTATTCCATCTATTTCCGCGTTATTTCTCCAGCAGGACGTTCAACAGGCGCAAAAGCATACCATCGTGAACTGTAAATACAAAAGTGTCCACCCCTAAGGTCTAACTTCAAGCAACATCACGGTAAGAGTAACAACAACAATATTTATACCACAATAACTACAATAGTGTCCAAAGCAGCACTTCCGGTCAAAGATAGCCAGCGCCAATTTCAATAGACGACTCAGCAGCTGACGACAAACAACTTGTATGAACAAGCACAAGCTCCCAAGAAATCGATCGACGGACGTCCGTATATTGTGGCCTGGCAGTCTGCCCGCCTTTGTGGAGGCCACTCCCCGTCTGCACGGTAACTAGAGGAGCACCGTTCTCCAACTACTGTCACTGTCGCCAGCCGCGTCGTCGCTTCCGTCACTGCACGCAAAACGAACAACGTTGTTGCTAATGCGTGAAAACTAGCCCCGGCAGCGCCCCTGGTGACAGCGACGATGTGGGGCGAAATGGAGCGTTGCCGTAAGCGTCTATGGAGCACGGCTTCAGAAGACTGTGACAGGCTGCCGTCGGCGATCAAGCAGCATTACCAGTAGAGACTGACTGACTAATGCGATGGCAACGCGTTGTAGCAGCAGGGACGAAGGCGATGGTAGGCCAAGCGCTATAGACTACGAGACTCACCACACTGTGGTGACTCTATGAATAGATATTCAGTAGAGAAGGGCAAATAAATGACATCGAGAGAAAGAGACTGGACAATGGCGGCGGAGAAAGACATCGGCGGTTGAGGCAATTACGATTTAAGTTGGACACAGTTTCAATACTACGCCAGTTCGAGTATAGTTCCGTCTGCGATTAGCGCAGAGAACGTTTGCGTTGTGTCTCGGATGCTTTCGACCGCGATTCGTAGATAGGCACAACGACTAATCGGTACCGTGGCACCGGTAGTGTAGCAGATATCGACGCCGACGGACCACGATGGATTCTATAGAAGACGAAAAAAAAGATGCTCACTTTTACTACCTGTCCGCCGATCTGTCCGTGTCCGTCGGAGCAGATACCGTACGAACGCACAACTAGACCCAAAAGGACAATGCGAATGGCCAGCTTTGCCGTCGCCGGCAAGTGCAACTTGCTATCATAGACAATACCGCAGCGTTAAAGCAGTCGCCGTGTCAGGCAACAATGAACATGTACGAGATACAATGATGGGAATGACTCTGTACGTATGCGCACGTATCTATGTCTGGACGTGCTAATTCTGACCACCGGATGGCAGCGCATTCCACTTTTGTTGTTAGTATTTCTGCCAGAGCTGTAACGCGTGTCCTGCTATTCTTAGAGAATACAAATAAAATAACAAAATAAAGAGTATAAGCAGGAATGGCGAAATGGTATAGTTTATAAAGGTGATATTAATGAAGGTAACTGAAATAGCGATGATAGTGATCTAAAAGCTGAAGAAAAAAGCACAGATACAGGAAATGAAAATGGCAAAAAACGGCGCTGATTACAAACCGAGGCACAGATTTCGTGAGTGGATAAAAAAAATTAGTGGCTACTAAGAAACGAGCGTGGTGTTAGAATTGTTGTTACTGTTGCCGTGAGTCAGCAACATGTGCAAGCTGTCCATTGATCGTCCGACAGCGATTTTTTCTTTTCTTTTGTTTTTTAATTCTTTTAAAACTCGCCATAGGCGTAGTATTCTTTATGGCGAAGGTAAGCCTGTCGCTAGCGGACATCAGTTGCAAACGATTTCATCGTAATCGATGGTGACCATAACACTGCATCCGTGACCGACGTTTACGGCATGCTTCAGGAAGTTCACCAATACACGTTTTGTACGGCCGCACGCTTCGTGACTAGCTTCGTCGAGTACACTTCACGACGCCAATGACGATGAAGAATTGTCAAAGTCAAAAATGACAATAGTCTTCCTTTTTTGGGTGTAAGTGTTTGACCGCCGAAACAGTCGGTAAGGGTTTGTTTACATTTGTAGCCATATCGAGCATTTTTTTTTCTCACTTACACCAACAGTAGTCTATATCGAGTGACAGTTTGTGTCTATTTGTATCGTTAGTACAAGCATTTCGCGAAAAGTTCACCATAGCCATTTCCTGACAGGTACCACCAGGGCTGGTAACATCATCATTACCAACGTACATACCAAAATAACAATAAAATATGCTTTACAAGCAGAAGAGAGCTGAAAATAAATGCATACGCAACACTCCAAGAAAGGACAGAAAACCTGCTGCTAAGCATTGCACAAAGTAAGCAATAAATGCCCCGTTTGTTCCAATAATCCTCTTTCAGGGAATCAGGTTCACTGGTGAGCGGAAGCCGGCCGTTTTTGACCACCTCTGCCAGCCAGAATGCCATATGGTGCGTCTTCGTCGAGGGCGCAGTCCAGTAAAAATAGGAAGTTACATTAGGAACGGGGCAGTTGTGATTAGTCCGTTTGCTGGACAGCGGGGAATATGACAACGGTAGCACAAGCCGGTGCCTTTGATGGGTAGTTAGCGATTACTAGATGAAATGGTGACGATCATTTAAAAAAAATCACTACTTCCGTACTGCTATTATCTATCTACACTGGCAACATAATATTGCGTCACGCATCGTTTGCAAGACATTGAACGATAGGTCTCACAGTTAGAAAGTGAGAGGTAGACGTACGATACATACGACATCCTCACAGCTACCGAGTTGAGTATGTCTCTGTAGGTTATCTTTAATAGGTCTGTATATCAGGGCCTTAATATGATTCGCCCTGTACAAAAAAAAACCTCAAAAATCGATGTATTTACTAGAAAAAAAAACAATCGAATCATTTAAAGATACAACCGGACCCCATGTCGGCTCCATTTATAAATCCGATTACCAAATGCAAGCTAAATTACTTTAACCGCTATTAGGTTCTTTTAATAGGACTTTAGCAAAGTGTTTATCTTCAAATTTTAGAAATATCTGAAATTATCTAAATTTAAGGAGCGTCATGTTCGAAACAATGCTTAATCGCGGTCTCCAGCCCAGTTGGGTTTATTGCATGTTAGGAGTCTGAAGTAGTTACTGTTCAATGGCTATATTGGTTGTAAAGCTCTAAACATTGACTTAATTCTAGGTCACGATTTCGAACAGCTTCTATACCGCCATAACGAATGGCCATCGCTTGCTATTGGCCTGGAACTAATACGCTGTACTGAAGACTCTGCTATCAATAGGAGCATCCAGCGAATTTTTCCGAGGTTGCAAATGCTCCGTTTTTAAACTGGTATTTTTCTAGGTTCAATTTTGGAACAAGCATATCTAATAATCAATAGAAGTCTTTGAGGATAGATTTCTCATCAAATTGCTCATTATACGATCAGCTCGGCAGACATTAAGCTTGGCAAACCTGTCACAACTGCACTTCTACCAGACAAGTTGAAGCATGCGAAATTTTTACGAGTAACTTCAACTGATGACGCATACCGATACTGTTTTCGACCAACTTCAATCTCCATATACGCAAATCTATCTGCGCTAACGAAGTACGATCATTCGTTCTTAAGATCCAGGCAACTTTTCCCGCGCCATCTATCGGCTCCAACAGATATAAGCAAGAGCCGTGACGTGATACTAGAAATTCTAGTGACGGCATTACTCGAGACTGAAAAAAAATACAAATCCGAATATTGTTATTAAAAAAAGATTCGTCGTGTCCTTACTTTATTCATTAAAGGCCATACTGCCACAGCACATGACGGAATGAGCCCAATCTATACGCAATCCGCACATTTTTCCGCTCTAAGCCTACTAACGTCGACACGTCTGAAAACTTAACGTACCACTATTTTTAATTCTCTCACTCTTTCTCGAAGTAAACCACCTAAGCTAACTCCCTTCGGAGGCAAATTGGCTATGCAAAGAAAAAAAGTACTAGACTAGATTACAGTGCATGTACTTATCAATTGGCGGTGTCACTGATCAGGGTATACAACAAGGCCACATAAAAGGCCTCTCACTTTTGAGACGTGGCTGGGGAATAGGGGATTTTTCTTTTGAGCAGAATGGGCAACAGATAATTTCAGCGTATCACAGTGGCATAAACTAGCGAAGAACTAAATAACATTGACAGATTTATTTAAGCATTCCGTTACAAAGGTCGCCTGAGTTCCCAGCTATTACCGCAATTGAATATTTAATCCCAATCTCCTGACGCTTGCTCAGAATATTACGTCGCTGACAATGACTTACAATTACGATCTACTACGGAAATTATGCAGACGTCCGTGAGATCTTCGGTTTTTTCCAGCTACACGATATAGTTTGGCGCTGTCAACTCAACGATATGATAACTAGATATCGCCAGAAATACTGGAGATATATTATATTAGAGACATATTAAATATAGAGATAAATCTAATGAGAGTAACATTAAAAAAAAAACAGAAGTTCTAATTTTGTCGGCAGATCTGACAAGGAAGTGGCGTGAGCTGTTGGAACAACAACTCAGATGATTTTTGTGTGCAAAGACAACGTTGTATCTTTTCTGAATTGATTATACGTCTCTGGGGTCAGCTACGCTAAAACAATTTAACAAAAATAATTCTTGGGCATCGGCGTTATCTCTCAACTTAACTGGCCAAACATGTTTACATGTGAAGAAAAGCTTATCCAGTTAGAATCTACAATCTGATTACTAGCTTGTGTCATAGTAGTGGTTTCTCAATATTTTAATAATAAATAAAGATATTTCTTCTTATTATTATTGTTGTTGTTATTATTCCTATGAGATGTTCGAACAGAAATTAGTAGGCTTTGCAAGATAATGGAAGCATCTTACGTTATTTTATCAAATTTCTCTTCATATACGCAGACATTTTCCAGGTCACTTCTGAGGTCGATTCGTAAATACCGTATATAAGCTTCTTTGTAATTGATCCTAGCCCTCAGAGGGCGTAATAGTCGTCTGAGTCACATGTCACGAGTGAGTAAAACGGAACTGAAATATTCTTTACCATTTTTTTTTTGCCAATAAATTACACCGCACCGTATGTTTTCACGGACCGAAGTAAAGGTAAATTATGTGCTAAACCAGGTCACCAGCTAAAAGTATCAGCTATGACGTACTGGCACCAAGAACAAGTTGTGCGACAAAAACCAAACATCACACTCGCCGTTGTTTCTTCTCAAAGCCTACTTAAGGCACTAGCAGGCCTCACGCACCTGTATTTGACAGCTGCGAACCGTTAGAGGAGCGACGATAGGCCTTTTTCAACGACACAAGCGAATATACCTGTTTATATATATATAATATACCGAATATACCTGTAAGCCACCCCGGACTCACAAACGCCCGAATGTCGCACAATTCAACAGCTCGGGATCATCATGCCAGCCAACTAGGGACCGTGAAATACCTAGGTGGCTGGACTTCAGCGATATGATGTGATGCGACCTACGATAGCTGTGTGTAAGCGTGGACTCATTTAAAGGCAGTAAGCTGCTGGACATTGCCTTCGTCAGTTAAAGGAGCTCTACAGCTACCTCGAAGGTTGCGCCAACGGTATTTCAGCTGACAGGTCTTAATTCGGTACCTGATAACCTCGCCGACGTCTTATACTGTTTCACGGGCTTAGACTATATAAACGATATAAATCTAAAGATGCAGTTCAAGGTGCGATTTGGCTTCTGCATTTACCTTTAACGGACTCCGTTCTATCGAAATCATGCAAACAGAGGGAAGCGTGTAATGATAGTTGAATCTAGTAACATAATCATGTGTATGCCAATTAGTGGAGAATAGGAAATGGGGCTAGTTCGCTTAGTCCTTATCTTGTTCCAAAAAATAACTTGGTCTTGTATTGAAAGCTGTTTAGCGCATATAGCGTTGTCTATAGGTCATTGCCAAACGCGGAGATGCAAGATGTACGAAGGAATGACCTAAGCGTATTTACGGCTGACCTTCTGAAAAACGGATTCCCGTAAAGATCTCCTTGAAAATGTACAAATGTTCTTAGTTTCGACTGAGACCCATCTTCGACTGAGACGCATTTAATACGCTCTGTATCAACTATGAACAGTGGCGGCTGAAACGCTTTGGCTCTCTCCAAATGATGAACACGGGAGAGGCTGCACTGCTCATAACATAGACGTATCTACGCCGCCGTTACCCCTCAGTCCTTCGTCCGGTCAACAGCTAATCGGTGGGCGACGTCTAATAAACCTGTAGCCTTTGAAGTCCATCGTTAGTATCAATAACAATCGAAGTGCACTATCATTTATGTATTAAATTGTGTATAGGCAGGCTAGTGCTTCATAGACCATCGCTTGAGCCATAGGCGGGCGGTTGCGTGTTGTTCTACTTAGGAACCCTATCAATTCTGCCATTGAGCGTTTCGTCATGGCGAAACCTGGCGATGGTAATTAGCTTAAAAACTTGAACTTAGCTACGACTAGAATGACGCTGGTTACTAACGAAACGCTGACGAAAGTTGTGTAAAAAAATTCGAAATGATGATCGAATAGGACTTCAATCATATAGGCTCCTGGTGGCTACGATGCGTTAGAAGTTCGCCTGACGAGTGGAAGATAACATCACGACATTACGATACCGATTGTTATGAAATTGCAGTCCTAATTAGAAGTTTTTTCATTTGTAGTCATTTTCTAAATCGGTCATCCATCGCGCACACAGGTATCGTGTAGATACTGGGTACAGCAGGCCCATGGTGGGATATAAGGAAAACAGGCCACGAAAAACGATGCCAAAGTGAAACACGCCGTTGTCCTGGTAGAAATCAATTGTTATTATGTTTGATTTAATTAACAATTGTACAATGAGAAATCGTATCACGGATAAATTTCATTTGACACGTAAATAATTAAATTTCTTACTGATAAATATTATAACCGCTATTGTAGTTACTGCAACGTGCGATGACTCCATACATAACATATGTTCGATATTTTCCTAATTTTATTTCCTTAATTTATGTTTATTTCCTGATCAATGACTTGCGAGGGCAAGTTTGTCGTCGGAAAGATTCGCCTCTATCCCGTATCAGACGCTCAACGTATCAAACACAGGCTTACGACGACGGATAGGCCGCCAAAGTCATCTCAGTTACACCACGATACGTCGTTTTCCAGCTTCACGCAGTTTTCAGTACAGTTGAGCTGGAAATCCACGGCAGGAAAAGAAGCGCGCGGATTTAAGTTCGTGGTTACCATTTGAAAATATATTTCATTTATTTCGATCAGGCCGTTAGTAATTAAAGCTATGAGTGAGCGTACATGTTACAGGTTATCAATAAAGGTCACAAGTCCAAAGGACAAAAGTCAGATTGGTACTTTTTGGGCAATAAAATTAATAGATTTGACTGATGTTGCTTGCCACGTGTAAAGCAGTAAATCGTTCTCGATTTTTTCTGATAACGAATTGATGATTGAGGAATGATCACTGGCTTTCTCACGATGTCGAAAATGCGCCTGTGTATTTGGAAAAATATTTGCCCAAGCTTCATGCTTCAAATGTGGTGTCTCGTAAAGGGACATCATGCCAGCATGCTTCTCCCAGAACGGCAAACATGCCATTAAAGAAAATGTAATGGAAGTTTTGTTTATTTATATATAATCTTAGAAACAAAGCCTAAGAACACGACAATTTGCGTGCTATATATATATATATATATATATATATATATATATATTCGTCAGATGTAAATCTTAATTCAAGCGCTTACCAGTATTAACAAAGGGCTTACTAAATACTGCTGGTTTTGCAGCGGCGAGCCTGATTAATGCAAGTACAGGGATATCTATAATAAACGATTTATTTAAACTTTCCCGCTAAGTAAAAGAAGCGATGTGTCATAATCCATCAATTGTTTGGAGTACTCCCGATCGAGAGTACTCCCGTTACGCATGTCCTCGGGCGCTTGGCACTTCTCCCACTATGGAACGAGGAGTGTCTATGCCCTGTTTCAAACCTAGACTATCTCACACGACCTTAATTAGCAGGCAAAGACGGGAACATTAGCTGATATTAGCTTAGGAGTCCCTAAGTTAAATCATAGTTCCTAAAACCTATCAGTATTGATTGGGTCTACGCTACTCACCTAAAAGCTATACCTCAGTCCCGGTAATGGGTGTAGTTTTCGCGAGACTGATCTCACAAGCCAATTTAGCGTGAGTCGCGTATACGATCCTACATATCTCCTTCCAGCGTCATATATTTAAATCAAAGCGGCTCAACAGGGAATATCGAATAAATCCAACAAAATTTTATATATATATATATATACATAAAAAAAAAATGCCTCCACGGTGTGAAGTTGAGGTCGGCTGCAAGCTTTCACGTGGGTCGTGAAGAAAGGCAGGAAACAGGAAAAAAGTCCATTGGTGGACGAGGTAAAGATCTCACAAAAAACGATAACAAATTCAATAAACAAACGTCTGGTAGAAGTTGAGACCGCGCACCTTACCGCTCCTGAAATAGTTACACCAAAAAGACTTCAGAATACTCAAGTTATGGGGCGAGAGCCAGCCAATCATGGTAAAAGGAGTTTGAATAATTAAAGTTTAGTGGACAAGATCTGACCCGATTACCATAGGAACTTCTTATTATACCTTAAAATAGTGAGATTTACTCTCACAGTATATTTAACCCAATCAAAGTTAGGACAGCACCATAAAGCCACATTTTTTTTCGTTGAATTTGTTCAATACTCTCCATTTAGGTTAGTTCAAGGCTAGATAGAGGATCTGGTACATGACACACGAGTTGACATCTATTATAACTTCAACACATGTTCATCTCAATCCGCGAAAACATTCGACTGCGACAACCGATAAGAAGAATGTGCCAAAGTCTCCAGTCTGATCCAAGCATATTTATTAACAGCTTATTTAATACCTCCGTGTTATCAGCTACTACTGCATTACACGCACGTACTCACTGAGCAATATATGTAGAATATATTTATCGCTTCACTCCAGCTATTTACAGTTTATCTAATGTGTTTTTTTACGTGTGTTCATAGTGCGTCTTGTGCTTCTGCAATCATTTGCTGTATCTCAAGAGGAACGAAGTTGCTTTTCGAAGGAAACGTCATCGCTACTTATGCTATAGCATGCATAAGAAAGGGTCCTTTTTTCGCGGTAAACATCAGCGTCAATCCATCGCGGGCCAAATGACGCCAGTGGAGACCAACCAATAAGATTATATGGAACACATAGCGGCTTATGAAGTAACACCGACGAGGTATGTATGTGTAACGGCGTGGACTGTCAAAAAAGTCCCGCGCAAAAGGAAACGGATGTTGCACAGGCCAGATACGAGATTGTCATGAAGTTGATTTTGATCTCTTATCGAGTATTGACGCTAGCATTTCTAACTCAGCAACGAGCGTCTCGAACCTGAAACAAAACGAGGCCTGTTACGGTACAAGTTTCGTCCGTTCCATACAACATACCCAATGACTCCTATTGCGCATTCGTGCTGTCAATGTTAACGGTAGAGTTTAGGTCATCTACCCTATTTTTTTCCAGCCTAAAGCTTAGCGGTCGTAAGTAAATCTATGGCATGATAATACCTGTTCGATAATTTGTTCTAAAGATACGTACTCGTTCCAGTATAGTATAGTATAGTATAGTATAGTATAGTATAGTATAGTATAGTATAGTATACCTTGCTATTAAGATCGATGTCACCTTCAAACGCAAAATTCTTTCCTCCTGCAATGTTTCAGCCGGCTAACATGAGCATAACAAAACAGACGTGTCTACCAATACGATGACCTAATGCTATACATGGTTTTTGCTTGCGGTTTCAACTGATCATTAATTTTCAAACGATGTCTAATTATCCTTGTCTTACCGGTAGGCAACTCGAATATCTGGTACATTGGTCTTTCGAACATCGTTGCCTTCGACACCTTCCTTCTCATAGCCAGAACCAAGCCAATTCTTCTTCACCGAAACCGGAAAACCGCTCATCAGCACGCTGTTTCGCGCCAGCTCGCACATGTCCACACCGTTTAATTTCCAAACCTGTTTAATTTCAATTTGCTCACTACAGTATTCGGCAACAGTTTCGTTTTAGCTAATCTCCTCCTCAACTTCATTGAAGTTGAGGAGGAGATTAGGAGAAGACGGTCAAACTAGCCCAGGACTTGACTGCTCTGTAGGTTCGTTCGCTTCGTGCGTTTACCAACGTGCCGCTAACTTCTACATGGATTAACTTATTCTATAAACCCGTTTTCAATTGGCGGAAGTATAGTTGCTTGATCGTACCAAATCGTCTATAGTGCGTAGCTAACTGCCATAATATGTAAGTTTTAGTTGAACTGGCTCCATCGTACATACTTGTGCAGCAATAGAGTATTCCTCCATGAGTGGTTCCCGGGTGAAGTGGAACTGAAGTGGATCATCCGTCGATAGCGAAACACATAATCCACGACTCAAGTATTCGATAAGGGGATTTCGATGATAATTTAAAAAGAGTGAATTGTTCGATAACGGAGACATGGCGATACCTATCTGCGCCAAATAGAATAGATACTGTAGCACAGGCACCTGTAATATGCAGGACGACAAACATTTCGTCATTATGGGCTGGCTGGCTGGCTGGCTGGCTGCGCTCCCTACTAAGTGGTACAGCCACCATTGCTATGCACCAGATCATTCAGCAAAACCAAGAGATTATTTACTGTCTAATATAATCACAGCTATGTATAGTTCACTGTAAGCGCTCCTCGTAAGAAGATGTTTCACCTTTCGAAGAAGTAAGCCATGGTTAATGCTTTCTGTGAGCAGGAAGCCTGCAACGAGGTGTTGTATAGGCCCAGCTTCGCCACAGTGAGGGCGCAATGTGAAAATGTTTAGCCCGCGAGATTTTCGAAACTGGTTCAGAACGGTCAGATTCGCGTACAAATAGTACATGTAGTAAACATAGGGCGGATTGTCATCGCCGGTCCACAACGACGGCACCGGTACCTGTGGCGCTCATTCAAACATTGTATTATAAATAGGTACATCATTTGCGTGAAATATATATA